AGCCGGGTAATGAAACGTTTGCAAGAAAAGAACCAAGCTCAGAGAACCCCAAGGAATCCACTATGATAATTACTATTACAATACACTATTATTCTTCAATTACTATTACTATGACAATGTTTATACTCTACACTATTACTGTTAATATTCTATACTATTACTATTCAATTACTATTACTCTATTACTATTACCTATATCCTGTATGAACAGATTTTAAAAAATATTATTACTAGTAATGTATCAACATTTCTTCATCCTGTGTCCCCTCTCTCTGAGATTTACGGCCAGCATATAGCACTCTTGCACCTTTTTACATTGTGCTTTGTCTTCCTGGGCTGCTAGACTTCTCCTCTCTTTTGGATTGTCCACTCCTTCTGAAGGAAAAACACCTTCTTTCATTTGGCTGCTGTACTCAGTTAGCTGGCGGCTGCAGAGCTCCAAAACACACATCTTCCTCCTACACACCTGTGTCATTGGCAACTCTGCCACAGGTGCCTGCAATTCTGCTACACAGCCGGCTCTTCCACATGCAGTAAAACTAGCTTATCAAGAGCTGTATCCCTGAATCACTGCCTATGGCTTTATCTCCAATACTGGTCAGGAAGAAGTCTGACAAGATATTACAACCAAAGAGCAGAGTTTTGTCCATCCTGTGATATTAATACAGGGTTTTGAACAGTAACAATCCCAAGGAAATATTCAACATCCTCTGAGTATGTAACATTTTTACGGAGAAATTATGCATCTATCCAGCTTTTCCACAATACTCAGAGAAGCCCAGAATATTTATAAAACACAATGAATATGGACAAGGCATCAAAAGCAGCATTTGCTCAACTAGCACACGGATAGCCATTTAATGTGATCTTTGCACGCATGAAGAACCAAGAGAAGGGGTGATTGGTCGCATGATAGAGGCAGTGTGGAAAAGGATCAGAATTAGGTGTTTTCTGCACCAACTTCCTTCTGCATCTGTTGGGATCAACAACCCATACTGAAAATTTCTACAATTTGGGCCTAAGCTGGCAAACAGAAAGGAGGCTTTGTAGAGGAGACTACATTGTATAAAACAAGCAAAAAGCCACAATGTTGTAGTCCTCAGCTGTGAAGTAAAAAACTGAAACTACAGGTGAAACTTGAAAAATTAGAATATCGTGCAAATGTTCATTTATGTCAGTAAGGCAACTCAAAAG